GACGGGTCAAAGTACGACTTTTGTTCAGGAGGATAGTTTTAGGCCAATGACAGTTCGACCGAGGCGTGCCGCACGCATTGCACACGACATGGGGTGACTTGCGCTGGAATTATAGTGCATCCGGCTTACGCTGCATCTATCGCACTTGCTCCGCCCCCTCACTCACATGGATCTGGTGCGAAGATTCAGTCAGAAAGCACGGAGATGCGTTCTAGCGCACTGGCTAAACAGGAGGTCAGTGCATATCACACCCGACTTGGACCCTGGCAAATGCACCGAACTTACACGAGAACGATTAGAAACCCGATAGCTGAGAGGCCACTTAAGAAATGAGCTTTTAATGCTAATTCGAAATCCTGAGAAGGACCGAGTAATCGAGGTAATTGGCAGCCCCTCGAGCCAAGAAATTTACAGAGGTAAGAAGTAAATAAAGTACTTGTCTTAGAAAATAAAAAGAGCAAACAGATGATGAAGGATTCAGTGAAACTACGGGAGGATAGAGTGAATTTGCAGCTGTAGGGAATGAAGACCATTGGCTGTACTACGTCGGTATGCAATTAGTTAACAGGGCGATTTTTGCAAACAACTGGTCGAGCATAGGAAGACAAGCGACTTCAATACTTTTCTAAATTTGACTTTAAAGAAAACATAGTAGCCTGTTTCCGATCTCAAACGTGTGTGATCTTCTAAAACTCAAGTCACGCGCTATGTGATTTTTTAAAAATAACATGTTCACTTTCAAAGCAACGAATATTTCGAAAAACACGCAACCCAACAAGTTGATTCTGGGCGTAGTCTGTCGAGAAAATTACAGGGATAACAAAATTAGAAAGTACATCACTGGACAGTTATCCGCTCTGATGTTTGCGAAAGAGGAACGATAACTGATAACAGGCGAGCTTTTACACGCTGCTTTCCGTCGTGCGGTTTTTAAAACCTGTGACATTCGCCTGCCAACCTACCAAAAGGGTTGGGATACACTTTAGTGGGCACTTTTGCACTTGCGAATGGTTCCTTTACGTAGCGGTAAGGACCGAAATTATAGAAAATGAAGGTGGCGATTGTATTTAAAAAATATCAATCATCCAAACACGCAAGCTTGCTCAAAGATTTCAATATTTCCCGCTTAATTTTAGCTGAGTCAGCGTGAAAATGAGGTTTTGAAACAAAAGGGGGTGCAGAGCTACAGACTTAATTTGAAAATGGAAGTGGCAAGGTTATTTCTAACTGGAAAAAGACAATTTCAGTCCACCTTCAGAAAGGGTCTGGCAATATATATTACTGTCAAAGTGACGGCGACTGTCCTCCTAAAACGGGCCACAAGTCAAATGCGTTGGAGCAACAGTGTAGATGGTATTTGGGATTGAAAAAGAAGAAATTTCGATCGCTGAGAAACCGCCTTTATTCACTTGACGTTTCGACATCCGTCGCGGATTCTTCCTCAGAGACATAAGCAGAAAACGGTAGCAGTTGAGAAGAAGACAATTCGATCGCTGGGACAACACTTTTATTCGTCAGCGATCGAGTCGTCTTCTTCTCAATTACTCCCTGGGACTCGAATATTCGCTTGTATTGGCAACAGCAGCAGTATTGAGGATGCGCACTCGGAACAAGCGCCACACATGGAGAACTTTGATAGCACGCCTATGCGCAGACTCGCGCTGCACCACACACCTGCAACGAAGCTCGCCTTCGGTCATCTTAGCTCGGCTTTGAAACCATGCTCAAACGAGTGATTAGAAACGTAGGGAGTGCAGTAGATGCTATGCAAGTCTACCATCATTAAAAATCAATCCATTCACAATTTTCCGCCCCTGCTGTATGGCACATAACAGACATCATTGACAACGAAGATCGAACTTTCCTACAGCATCATGCAACGTGAGGTTATTTCGTTAACCTCATGCAACTACGAAGAGGGCCCTTGCAGAGTTCGCCAGAATACTCATGTAAAACTTATCTCCAAATAACTTACAGACACAAAATCTAAAAGTCCATGAGTGAAGGCTGAACTGTCAAACGTTT